AAAAGCATAACCACTCCTTCTCCCACCATTTCACCCTTCCCAACCTTATTTGGAATTAAGATAAAAAAGCTTGTATCCAGTTTTCATTTCTGTAAACCAAAGCAATGGAACAATCTGATTCTGTGGAAGCTATAGTCGCTCAAGGATCTACAGTCTCCTCTGGCTGATTCATTTCCTCATCCCTCCCCCGGTTGTGAGGCTGCCATTTAGTAAATTACTGATTCTGTGCATCACTTTGTACTCTGGAGGGCTTGGCATCTCTACCTCAAATTTATTATCAAATCCTTAATTTATGTCCAAGAACTAAATTACTCATTACAATATTCATCTCTACATAAACATTATTGTTTACCATCTCATGTATAATGGGAATTACACATACTGAAATTTAGAATGTTACAATTGGGACCTGGATTTTAAGATCAGCATTAATATCACCAAGGATGTGTTACTCAAATTCTTATGATAGATGTGAGAAAAAATAGATTTCTACATTACCTATAATGTCATTGCTATGTTTATATCTTAAGCCTCTCTCCAGGACTTCTTAGTAAATATTAATGAATTTGAATTATGCCTACATTTTATATGATTTCTCATGTTCATCTTAAGTATTAAAAATAAACAACACTGTTTTTTAGAAGAAAATGAGTATAAAGGACTAGAAGATGATTTCTCTGATTACAAACACTACAGATATTTTTAGTACAATGATATCAAAGCTCATTCAAACTGATATAAAACAAAATGAAGAAACGATTTCCTTTCCATTCAGGAAAACAAATGGTTCTGGAAGGTAGGAGGTATAATTTATGCATGGAATGACATGTTTATTGACTCTGCCTGATGGGTTAAAATTATGCATCTGGATCAGGTACAGAAGGTCACACTGAATGAACAGGCTCCTGCAAAGCTTCATTAGCGAGGCTGAACCACTGCTTGAATGCCCGTCTCTGCCAGTGGCACTTTCACTTGTTGATATTGTGGAAGCTTGTTTTAATGATGCTTTCGGGGAGGGGGGATTCCGGAACTTAATTTTATATGTGAATATGGCATGCAACTCTGTATGTTATACTGCTCCACTTATGCCCATAGTCAAAAATAACACTGTAGCCTTCCTGAATCTCACCCTAGGTATTAAAATGTTAACTACTCCTTACCGAGGTACTCCAAAGTCATGTTTTAGATGAGATCCAAAGTTTTATTTCCATTTTCATATGAGGAATTGGCATAAATTTAACTGTGTATAAGGCTTACTTGATAAGGACTATTTGAAGAAACATGTTTGAAAACTTAGTATTTTTTTAACTTAAAATTGACATCAATTTTCCTCTCTTTTTCTTAACTAAATTTACTGGGGTAACATTGGTTAATGAGATCATCTAGGTTTCAAGTGTACAATTCTATGACCCATTACATGTATATCACATTGAGTGCCCATCCTCCTAAAACCTTCTTCCGTCACCATATATTTGGTCCTCTTTATCTTTCACTATGTCCACCACTTCCTCCTTGTAACCACCATACTATTGACCATGTCTATGAGTTTTTGGGTGGTTGTTTTTTTTGTTTACCTGTTCATCATTGGTTTCAGTTTTATGTCTCACATATGAGTCAAGCCATATGGTTCTTAACTCTTGCTCAGCATGATAGTCTCAAGATCCATCATGCTTTTGCATTTGGCAGTATTTCATCTTTTCTTAGGGCTGAGTAGTGTTCCATTAACTCCAGGGAAAGAGGGAAAAAATATTTTTCAATTGTAACAAAAATAATAAAATACTTAGGAATAAATTTAACAAAAGATGTGAAGGACCTCTATACTAAAAATTACTTAGCACTAGTGATATTGAAAAAGACACAATGAAATGGAAAGATATTTCCTGTTCATGGATTGGAAGAATCAACACATTTAAAATGTATACATTACCCAAAGCAATACAGAGATTTAACACAATCTCCATCAAAATCCCAATGACATTTTAAAAAATAGAACAAAAAAATCATTGGATATTTGTTTTCTAATGTAAACTGCAGGAACATACATACTTTTTAGGACTCTTTGGATTTCCCTTTAGCAAGTTTTTTTGTTTTTGTCAATATTACTTAATAACACAAATCTAAGAATGATTTCAAACAACTATTTAGAACATTGGTAAAAATAAAGGTATCAATAACTTTACTGTAGGGGCACATACATAAAGATTGAAATAATATATATGCATACTTTTTGATATTATATATATATACTTTTTTAATGACCAATGTGTCAGAATAACTTAAATATCAACTTGATAGAACAAATGTAATTTCAGTATAACTTTATTTGTTGCTTTCTTTCCATTGCTCTGTGGTGAGGTGTTTCAGGACATCTTAAGGTCTTGTGCATTACAAATGTACCTAAGTGTTAGGAATAAAACTTGAAAAGCCATCAGATCCCAATTGTGTATTGTTCCTCATTGAAGAACACTATATATGCTAAGTATATGGCTTATATTATTTCGAGTTTACTCAAATTTTACTAGCTGTACTTTACTAATAAATTGCCAGTTCTAATTTATGATGATAAAATGAAAATAAATGTCTTTTCAAAAGTGGAACAAGGGTGGTTGCATTATCTATCTTGTATAATATGTATATAATTATTCACTAAGAAATGATATAGAAAAATGTTTTATTTCCATACCAAAATATACACATACTTTAAAACAACTTAGAATATGCAACTAAGGACCAATCTTTATTAGTGCATGTCAACAAGATATGTTATTTGGATCACATAGAAGTTTTCAACCAATTTTGTAATGAAAATATTTTGTCAATCTATCATTTTGGCTGTATTTCTTTATACAGAAATAAATGAAAATTTTGTATTTAATAAACTAAATTTAGCTATGATGGCTTATGAACAGTAAATTCACTCCCTTTGAGCTTTACTAAAAATAATTTAAATATTTTTATTTCAGTCAGCTATTTTCATGTTTGTGGTTAATTATGGTGTACCATGTCATTTTAGTATTCATCAGTGTATTTCTTCTCCAAACACTTGTCATTGTATAGAGACAATCAAAATAGCATTTACTCATTCATTTGTTCATTCATCAATGTGAAAAATACATTTAATGTCAACTCTGAGTCAGGCAGTATACTACTACAGAAATTTACAGATGCCTGGCTGGCGTAGCTCAGTGGATTGAGCGCGGGCTGGGAACCAAAGTGTCCCAGGTTCGATTCCCAGCCAGGGTACATGTCTGGGTTGCAGGCTATAACCCCCAGCAACCGCACATTGATGTTTCTCTCTCTCTCTATCTCCGTCCCTTCCCTCTCTAAAAATAAATAAATAAATAAAAATCTTTAAAAAAAAAGAAATTTACAGATGAATGCTAGTTACTGTCATTTAAGAACTGACAAGTATTAAGACATTCAAAAGCATATTTAAATGACAATGTTGCATTATAAAATGGAAATCATACCATTACAGGGGTACAAAAAGTTAGAGGGTTCAGAAGGTCAAAGATTGTCTTAAATTGAGGTATCAGGAAAAAAAAAACATACTTGCCAAAATTAAAGTGGATGTCGACAAAATAAAATTGTTAGAAAGAAGATGCTAGGTATTTTCAAATATATGAAAGCATGGAGAAATATCTTGAGGTCCCATTTAGCATACTTGAAGATAACAGTTGGAAATGATGAAAGAAATGTGCATTAGAGCTACATTTAGGAATCTTTATTATTTTATTGAAGACTTTGAAGAAGACAGCTAACACAATATAAAATTACTTTATTTACAGTAATCTGGCAGCAGCCATGTCTGGTGCAGTTTGGTAAAGCAGTTATAGAAAGCAGTGGCATCAGTTCAGAGACACGATAACAGTAACCCACCTGAAAAATAATAAGACCTTAATTGAAGAAGACATAGAGTTAATGAGAAGGAAAAGATGGATCATAAGACATTTATGTTATATAGCACTTGGGATTTGGCAATTAATTTGTTGTGAGGCAAAAGAGAATAGGGCTTTGATATTAAGGGACCAAGGCCATCACAGTGTTTATAACAGGAAAAGGTGACAGATCAAGATGGAAAGTAAAGAGAAGTATATTGACTTCTGTTTCAAATCTTTGAGTTTGAATGCCAGTGAATAACCCTATAAAATAAATCTATAAGAAATGAGTATAAATTTCAAAAGAAGTCAACCAGATGTATTAGATGAAATTAATTAAATTGATGGAAATGGATGGATTGAGGGAAGAGAATCATAGAAGTTCATGCAGAGGATCTATGGACATAATGAAGAAAGGAGCAAAAATGATCAAAAAGTAGTCAGGGATTTCCAGTCGATCATGAATGATTAAAAGCTAAGAAAAATAATTGGATTTAGATATGACTATGTCATTAGTGAACCTTTGAAAGACAGCTTTTTGAAGCAATAAAAACAGGTTAAAACGACTTGCAAATTAGGGAGTAGTTGAGAAAAACAGGAGAGACTAAGATTTGGAGAGTGCAGCTTAGAGGGAGTGCAGGTTGTGGTCAATTTGACAGTGATTTCAGTGCATGTGAGTGGAAAAGAGCCAGTGCAGGTAACTAAGGACTCCAAAACAAGAGCAAACAAAAGACGCAGAGTAAGGGGCTGAAAGTGGGAGACTAACGGATCAAAATCATTTTGGGCAGTTCATCCTGGAAAGGGTCAGTGGCTTCTAAGCTGCCAAAAAAAAAAAAAAATGCAAAAGAGAAAGTAGAACATAAAAAATTGTCTGTTGTAAGGGGTATGCTGAAGAGAAGTTTAAAAAATGGGTTCAAATGCATTCGAACTTCTCAGTGCAACATGTGAAAGAGTGAAGGATCTTGGTGAGAACAATGCTGCTCAAAGGAGTGTTGCTGTTATTTCATAATACAGTATAAAAATAAGTTAGGGTTGCAGTCATTTCAATTGCATTTCATGCTTCTGGGCTTGATGTAATTCACCATTTGGAGATGGGACTAACTGTCGCTTACTCTGTTCCAGGCGGTGTGGTTACAGCAAAGCAAAGCAAGACCCAGAAGAGGAAAAGATGCATTTCCATAATGGGCACAGTAAGCAAATTGTAAAAACTCAAAAGAACACAAATTGGGGGAAACATTGTTGTTTTGGTTTCATTTCAGACAAGATTTCTACCAAAATGTATTAAAAATGTGTTTTGTTATATTCCTAGAAAACATATGAGCTTGGGACATTGTGGGTTACCCTAGGCAACAAAAAGATGGTTTATTCAATAATTTACTTCATACCTTCATTGTGATCATTAAAATAAAATTGTTTGCTTAATATAAGGCAATTATTTTTGAAATCAAATCCCCATGCCAATTCTAATTGCTAGCAACACTTTCAGTAGAAATCTATTTTTAAATAACACCACCAGATCACAATAATGAAATTTCACAGTATTTTTTCTGCTTTTTCTAGCATGATAGCAGGAATTTTTCTGAGCAGATCCTATCTATAGCAGCAACCTTGGTTCAAATAACTTGAAAATTCTAAACTTCTAACAAATACAGAAAACCAATTTTTAATAATGAGCCTTAAAATTAGTAAATGGTTTCTTATTAATGATATTTTAATGTTTATTTGTCATTAATATTATAGCATGAGTTGTTTTGTCAAGTAAATGACATAAAGAGTTTCTTTTATTTTTGTCAGTCTGCCAGGATCACAACAGTTAAAATCATTAAAGCCATGAGTCATGTTATAAAGCATTAAGTCCATTTTTATAACATTATTTTATTTAATGTTATTTATTCTCAAAAACACTGTGAGGGTCAAATTGATAGCTTTACATGTGAAGAAATGGAGGCTTATAAAACAGAAGGGTCCATTCAGTAGCACAAGTGGAGTGAGAAATAGATCTCTCTTTCAATTTATTTTACTTCTTTGTAAGTTTTATTAAAACAAAGCACATAAAAAGTTATTTTAAATTATTTTAATTTAATCTTTATTGCATTTTTCTATTACCATTTAGTCCCCTTATATCCCTTTTCCCTCAGCAATCACCACATTGTTGTCCATGTCCATGAATCCCAAAATTAATTATTTTTTATGATAATTTAGGCAAAACACACTAACAAACTGACACATAAACCACTAACATTTCATTGTCTAGTTTAGTGAACAAAACTGTCTTAATTTGCTTTAGAGACTGACTCTGTGGACATTAGTATTGAAAAATGTGTTTACTCATATATGTTGGTATATATACATTTTTTGTACGTGCCAACCATCCAGATTTCTAAAATGATAAAAGTCATATAGCTGAACAAATAAGCCTCATAATTTAAGGAGACAGTCTGTCTTTACAATTTAGCCACTTATAAGAATTAGGGATTTAAGCCACAGTTGCATGTACATAATATCTTTTTCTTGTACTCCGGACTTTGAAAACAATTTTATTTAGTATTTTTTCCTTGTTTTTATTATTTTACTCTGGCAAATGTCCCCAATTCTCCTCTTTTGCCTACCACCCCCATTCGTTGCTCCCCCTTCCCTCTGGCCATCACCACATCGTCGCTTGTGTCTTGGGTTATGAACATATGTTCTTTGGCAAATCCTTTCACACTCTTTCATCCCATCCCTCTGGCCTCTTCCCTCTGACCATTTCCTGTCTGTTCCATGTATCTATGCCTCTGCTTCTATTTTGTTTGTCAGTTTATTTTGCTCACTATATTCCACATATAAATGATCATATAGTATTTGTCTCTCACCGACTGGCTTATTTTACTTAGCATAATAATGTTTACAGCTTCACTCATTCATCACAGGTACATCTATTTTAATCCTCATTTATTTTTATAGTTAAACTGCCGGGAGTAAGAACATACATTGATCCACACACCTATGAGGATCCCAATCAAGCTGTTCATGAATTTGCCAAGGAGATAGAAGCTTCATGCATTACCATTGAACGAGTTATTGGAGCAGGTACCTCAATGTGTTTAACTGGGACTTTCAACTTGTGTTTAATAATAGAATGCAATATGTCAATGTCCTTATATAATATAGAAAGTTTCTAATTTTTTCTAACTGACTTACTTGCAAAGTGGTATATAATTGATCCTATTTTAATGTTATATTCTGTGTAGCTCACACTTCAACCAGTAAATGTCTACTTTATGAAATAAAAAATAAACCAGTAAATATAAATATAAATATATATATATTCAAACATGGTGTTTTTCTATCTACTGTGGATTACAATACATATATATATACACATATATAATTTATAATGCCCAAAATATTTACATAATTCAAGCATACAGTTTTTATGAATCATTTCTTACCTTCAATTGTTTCCTTTTTGTCCTGTTACAACCTTTTCTCCCTTTCTCTTCTCATTAATGTCACTGCTAAAATAGAAAAAGGAGGAAGAAAGAAATCATTTAAGTCAGTTGCATTTGCTTTCCTTGAAACATTTCCATTAAGGGTTTTGTAGGTGAGACAGATGAAGCTAATAACCCCAAAGTGTTTTATGATCACCTGTAGATGATTTTTCCCAGGGCACCATTTATTTCTATTAACATTGATACAAAGTTTGAACTCCCCTTTTAACTCTGTTTCATCTAAACCTTGAAATTCTTTAAGAGTGCTTTATATTATTATTAGAGTAAGGATTTCAAATAATTTTATGTATTTTTTTTCCATCTTTGTCACAAGGTGAATTTGGTGAAGTGTGTAGTGGACGTTTGAAACTTCCAGGAAAAAGAGAATTACCTGTGGCGATCAAAACCCTTAAAGTAGGCTACACTGAAAAACAGCGTAGAGATTTCCTGGGTGAAGCAAGCATCATGGGGCAGTTTGATCATCCTAACATCATTCATTTAGAAGGTGTAGTGACCAAAAGTAAGTACAATGGCATATAATGTATGAGTGTGTATATGTATCATGGGTGTGTAAAATAGCCTAATATTAATGTTCATAATTTTAGGTTAAGGTTATTATGAATTTCAGGGTGGAACAATGATAATGGTATTAATAATTTATCTCCTATAAATATGAATTGCCCTGTACTGGGGTATTTTAGTCAAAACTGATCTTAAAAAGAACCTGATTTCTATGTGTTTTTTCAAAACATATAGTAATTCGTTTCCTATTAATTAAGCACTGGAGAAAATGTATCTAGATTAAAGAAGCAGTAAAGGTACCAAATTATTTTTCTCCTGTCCCTTTCACTTTTTATTCTACTGAAATATTAACTTCAAAGTTCTAATTAAGGCATTGAAGTTTAACATTTAATAGCATTACTATAACCATAGGTGCCCAGCCTTTTTTAGAATCTTTTAAGTAGTTTTTACAGCCAGGTGTCTCCTTTATCCATATTTTTTCATTGCAGTATTTTTATAGTTCTAGAGACAGCAACAGTCTCAGCAGGCTGTGAAACTTCCTTGAGAGTAATTATTTGTCAAAGCAAATCAAATTTTTATTCAGAAATATCTAGAATTTCACATTTCTTTTAAATTTGTACTAGTGTACTGTAAATGTAGTTTTGTGGTGAACTTCTCAATATAAGGATTTGAAATAAGTCTTCAGTCATCCAATAAAATATTTATGGGGCATATACCTACAGCCTTTATGTTCTTTTAACCTATTTTTTTACTTTGCCATTTCTATTTATTCTGATTCCTTTCTTTTTCTTTCATGACCTGCATGTCACTTACTAACCATCTAAAAACCTTGGCAAGGTACATTCTTTAGACTTGCTATAAAGCATTTGTTGAACTTTCAGCTCCCATTAACATTTTAAGTCATATGTGTCAAATATGCACAGTAGTAATGTGTATTCAATGAACGTTCTTAACCAAGTATTTTTAATTAATTAGCTATCCATTTACTCTATTTATAGCTTTTAAAAAATGGGGAAAAGAACAAGACAACACTTTTTCACAGTAAATAAGGACTGAAGAGGCAAAACATTATGTGTATTTAGTATATAAAAAGTTAATTCCCAAATCATAATTCATTTATAGTAGGTCACAGATGAGAGTGCAATAGCTTTCTCACAAGTTTGAGGGGAAAAAAACAGAGGAAAAAATATCACGTTGGTTATTGGTTGGACTTTTGAATGAATCTGTATTGCTGTGAGTGTGTTTTTCTCTGTCTCAAGGAAATACCCACATACAATAAGAATGTCCATAGCAGAATGAAGCATAGGAATAAAATAACCTGTAAGACATGTGAATTTCTTTGAAACTTAGAGGTTTCTTCACCTAGTTGAGTACCCATCCATACTTTATCACCCCCTCAACAGAAACCCAGAGAGAATATGATTGGTACAAGAAGAACATCCTGGGGTCTTAGGGGAACAGACAAATTGCTAAAGAAAGGTGGGAGGCAGGGACAAGAGAGAGGCAGATGGGGGCAAGAAGAACATATATTTTAAAAGGAATAAGATAAAAAATTATTTTATAAATTTGTACAGTGTAAATGAATAGACAGGGATATTTGAAATAAAATTAGGGCATGAAAATGGTCACCGCAATTTGAATTGATGTTAGTCTGTCTGATAATCTATCTCCTACCAAGGGAAGGACCTTGAAAGGACAGCAGTGAGGGCATATGGGGGAAGATAAGATAGGAACAAGAATCATAACAATGGCTTAGTATCATTTCCTATGAAGGAACGGTCTTATCTATTGATAATAATATAACCCATAGTTCTTAATGATAGTCATGGTAACAATAGCATGCAAACATTTGAAAAGTTTCATGTCTTTATTTCATCTTTAATATGACTGTTAAATGTAACTTCATTGAAATAATTTCTGACCATCACTTCCTATTACCCTGGGCAAATGCAAAGCTCCTTTTGAGCAAATCTGCCATCTTGAAACAAGTTAATGTAATATTTAGAACCATTCCAGATTATTACTATTATCATGAAAGCAATATTGTGTAATGGTCAAGAACATGGACTATGGATCTAGCCATCTGATTTTATTTTGGCTCTACCATAAACTACTATGTGACTGTACAAGTTAGTTAATCATTCAGCAACTTTAGTTTCTTCATCATTGATATGGAATAAGAATACCTCATGACGTGTTGCAAGGATGACATGAACACAGATAGAATATAATATGGGTATGGTACAAAGTAGGTAATTAATAATTATATACATATTACTTTTCCATTTATCTTTCTTATTATGCTATAAAACTCCTCCACATCCATTTCATTCTTAATCCATTTTAATGTACCTTATATTTTGTCCTATTGTTACTGAACAGACCCTGGGGAGAGATATACTATTAACGAATGGACACCCTCTCTCCTGGGGTTCCCCTGTACTAGGTTCACCTTGCCTGCTGCCAGGGAATTATAGTTCTCAAAGCCAGAGATTCATGAAAAGGAAAGGAATTATTTATTCAAAAGATATACAGACTTAAGAGTAATGGCTTAATATCTTCATTAAAATCCCAAAGTCCCTTAAAACACCCACAAACCCACACTGTCCTTCCCTTCCCCCTTTGCCCAGTCTGGGGTACCATATCTCAGGAAAAGAAACAGAAGTCTGTGGCTCAGGTAGCCCCCACTTCTTCCCAGTAATCTGTGCTCAGCTGGCAGGCTTTCCTTGGTTTCCAGCACCATCAGCTGTGTTGCCAGAATCTCCAGTTCTTAATCCAAACCTATGGCACCTTCTCCTGGCCCACCAGCATGAGTCCTTTCACCCCTTTCCTCCCCACAGCATCTCTCCTATATTCTTCCAAACTGCTAAGAAAGAGCTCTGCAACACTGCAACATCTTGCTTTCTGGCTTTCTGGCTTCCTAAGCTGCTTGGCAAAGTGTGCCCCAAAGTCACATGGTTCCAAACTTTTCATGGCTGCCATGCCTGGGTTTAAATCCCAGCACCAGTCTTACTCTGTAGCCCTATTTCCGACTCCTCTCACAATCGGCTACTCCTGCCAGCATTTCTCCAGCTTTTCCAGACTGCCATAGTAAGTCCAGGCAGGTGTGGCCCCATGTCACAGAGCCAATCATCTTCAAGCTCTCACACAGTCCCTGTAACCAGGGGGAGTTGCCTCCCAGTTGAATCATGGGTTGAAGTCATCCCATCTCCCTGGCTCAAAGCATGGCCACAGCTATTTAACACATCCATGAAGAGTTATAGATATGTTAAATGACCATGCCTGTGGTTAGCTGCAAAACTGTTGCTATGCAAAACAACTCTCAATGGCCCTGCTGCATGTGTCCCACCCCCCAGTTCAGACATGCGGGGGGTGGGGATGAGGACATCCCATATTTTTAATATTTCCTGGACATCCTGAGTTCTGGACCCCATTACAAATTCTTCTTTAGGGGGGACCCCTGGCTGCACCCTGTTACACTATCTCCATTGCCTCTTCATATAAAACTGACACTCATTCATTACTATTTAAATTACTTCAAAACCATATTAAATTTCATCACTTCCATGAAATATCCATCATCATTTCACTCTGAAGTAATATTTTCTTCTTTTGAACACTTTGTTGATGAAATAATTTTTGTATTTGTCTATAATGTTGCTTCATTTTTCCCCAAACTCTTATTTAGATGTTCCATTTATTTTTTCTTCTTTGGCTTAAAAAAAAAATCAGTTCCCTTAGATCACAAATCATGTCACAAAAAAATTTGTAAATCTATTACACCTAAATCTAAGCCAATCCATAGCCACCTTATTTAAACACTTTTAACTTTAATGTAGTTAGTAATTAGCAGTTCAGATGTGGAGAAGTTCAAGTTGAGATCCCTATACACATCCAACTATGTGTGTGTGTGTAAAATTGCAGGCAATTATAGTAGTGAATAAGTATTTATCTCCCTCCTTTTTAAGTGAATGCATCAGATACTAGTGGAAAACACCCACAATTTATTAGAACTAATACTCACTTACTTTTATAAACCGCTTATTTATTACTGAACTTATGCAAATAGAACATGACTCATATAAACTAAAAGAACTAAATTTGTCAGACAAAAAACAACCAAAAGTATCACATAATTTATATTCACATGAAACATTTATTTATAGAAGCAAGTATCAATATCAACAAGTGATATTGAAATTCTGAGAACGTTAGTCTACAAAATGGTACTGTGGTTGGAAATACAATTTTATTTATTTTATTTTTTAAAGACTATATTTATTTATTTATTTCCAAACAAAGGGAAAGGGAGGGAGAAAGAGAGGGAGAGAAACATCAATGTGTGGTTGTCTTTTGCATGCCCCTAGCTGGGGACCTGGCCTGCAACCCAGGCATGTGCTCTGACTAGGAATTGAGCCAGCAACCCTTTTGTTCACAGGCCAGCACTCAATCCACTGAGCCACACCAGCCAGGGTGGAAATACAATTTTTAGATGCCCAATCTCCTATGTGATGTTGATGCCATGAGGTTGTACATATAGGTAAAGCAAAATGTAAATATTGTAAACATTTCTTTGTCTTTAATTTTTGTTCTGTGTGAATTGAAATTGTATTTCCTCTTAATGAATGTTCAACTTAGGAAGACTTCAACCTGTTTTTAATTTACCATGTTGCAACCCACTTTATTTGTGTCCTTAATTTCATGCTTTCTTATTTGATGCTAATTTGTTCAGCAATTATTCTCAACCTGCAGCACATGGGTAATGAGACCTAAGCACAACTAAATCGTGTGATTTTTCTGATTGAAGCTGAGGTATGGAGCCTGAAGTAGCACTCCTGTGGATGGTGCCATTGTGAACCCTCCTCTTTCCTGTGTCACTGCCTTGTGCACCAGAACTGTGGGCCCTCGTTCAGATTCCTTCTGTGTTAAACAAACATTAGAGGAACATTAGAGGAATCTCTATTTTTTTTAAGTCTGGGGAGATGGCACATTCAATAA